TTGGGGGGGAGGGGGCAGGCGAGATCCTCCTCCATTTGTACTGAAGCAATACAACTATGGAATTGGTGTACAGCCCATTAGAGCCTCATCTCAGTTTCTTACCTTCCAGGCATACAAAACACCATAGCTGATGATGTAAGCAGACGCTTCTCCCAAGATTACATGTGGAAGCTGGACTCTTGAATTCTCAAACCTATTTCCCTGACCTGGAGGCTTCCAGAAGTTAACCTCTTTGCCACCACCACCAATAGGAAATGCAGAAAATTCTACTTGAGAGGAGGGCTGGATCGTCAGTCCATAGAGGATGCCTTCCTCATTTCATGGACGAACAGTCTTCTTTATGCATATTCACTGACATCATTGATCACAGTGTTGAACAAGATCAAACAAGATAAAGCCAGGGTCATTCTAGTTGTACCAACTTGGTCAAGACATGTATGATATCCTTACCTGATTCATCTACTTCTTGTCGACTATTGTGACTTCCACCCATTCCCCATCTCCTGTCTTAGGACTCTGGTCAGACTCTTCACCCCAACCTGAGAATTCTTCAGCTCAGAGGTTGGCTCCTCAACGATTCTCAGGGATACAGACTTTGTATTCAGCAGAAGTGTAACAGGTACAATTAAACATCAGGAATATATCTATGCAAAATACGCTAAAAAATAGAAGCGATTCCACCACTGGTGTTTCCGGCAACAGTTTTTGCCTGTTCATTTCTTTCTCTCTATCTTTCTCTCTCTGCTGCTCTTGATTACATGTTGGAATTAAAAAAGTCAGGTCTTTCCATGAGTGCCGTCAAGGTTCATCTGGCCGCTATCAACGCTTTTCATTCACCAGTAGAAAGATTCTCTGTGTTTGCCCACTCCACGACAGTAAGATTAGTCAAGGGAATGACAACTTTCTTTCCTCAAATTAAAGAGCCCACCCCAGTACAGACGCTCCCCAACTTATGCAATCATTCCACTCCGGAAAGCCTTGCGTAACCCGAATTTTACGTAAGTTGGAAACGTATATTGTGCAAGCATAAAAAACAAACAATTACAACATTTTTTGTTCTAAATCAATCTTCTTTCGCTTACGAACTGGTCCTGAACTCTTGCTATCACCTCGTCGCTTTCCAGGCATGATTTGAATGAAATAATAGGGTGAAATCACAGAAATACAGTATCACTGAAATAACACAAGACTGAGAGGCTGTGAGAACACAAAGCCTTCCCTTGTAGGAGATGCTACTACTGTATTCCTCCGCACACCGCACTATGGTACAGTACTTTGTGTTTCCGTACGTTACACAATATTTTCTGCAACTCAAAATTTTTATTTATGCCTTATGGAAATTTTTGTGTAAGGTCGAATTTGCGTAAGTCAGGTCTTGCGTAACCAGGGGAGCGTCTGTATAGAACTTAAACTTGGTTCTTAATTGCCTCCTTTTGAGCTATTGGCTATGTATTCTCTGCTTCACCTATCTATAACAACTTTCTGGATGGCCTTGATTTCTGTCCGGAGAGTCGGAGAAATGTGGGCTTTAATGGCAGATCCTCCCTTTACAGTATTCTTCATGGAAAAAATTTCATTGCAGCCACATCCTAAATGTCTACCTGAAGTATCTCCTGAATTTCATATTAACCAGGTTATTCATCTTCCATTCCCACCCCCAAGCCACACCCAGACCTGGGAGGAAGCTGCTTGCCATACCCTGGACGTCAGAAGGACATTAGACTTTTGTATGGCTAGAACCAAATGCCTTAGAAATTCTCCCAGATTGTTTCCTTTGTGGACAGATCCAAAGGAGCTACAATTTCCACCCAAAGACTCAAGGTCAATCTCTAGTTGTATAACCTCTTATTATGAGGATGCCAATGTTCAACATCCTTCTAGAGCACTAGCCCATTCTGCAAGGTCACAGTCTACTTCAATGACACTATTGAAAGATGTTCCAGTTGTTGAAATTTGCAGAGCTGCAACCTGGACCTCAATACATACTTTCTCTAAACTTGATATCTTGATTCATACTTCCAGATCAGATTCTGTGGCTGGCAATTCAGTTCTCTCTTCCGTGTTAAATCCAACTCTGAAGCTCCCTCCTCCTCCTGGGGATACTGCTCAGGAGTCACCCAAATCGGAGCACCCACAGGAACACTACTTGAAGGAAAAATTAATCATTCTGTGCAGTAACTGGCGTTCTTTGAAACATGTGTCTCTATGGGTGCTCCATTACCAGCCCTCATTCCCCTCAGCTTTGGAGTTTCATCCCATGCCTGTGCACCTGTATATATACTTTGTACTGGGCACGAAGATATCTGGAGTGCAGACGTAGACTGAAAAGTCATTGCTACTGAAAATCTCCGAACAAAGGTACATGGGGTGCATGTGCACTTGAAGTGGGGCACTCAGAGAGCCACACAACTCAAAACTCCAGTTATTGCACCAGGTTAGTAGCCTCTCCTTTTAAAAACTTATTATTTTTATTTGAATCAGTTTATTTTTTATCAAATCACCATGAAAAATTCAAATTGTGCTCAGCATATGGTATAATTTGCTTTTTGCCCTTTTGGTGAGATATTTACGAAACTTAAAACTGAACTCTGTGACAATCTTAACTATAGTTAGCAGGATTCAGTATTTTTTTTTTTTTTTTTTTACAATTTTGATGGATAAGATATTTATTTGTAAGCTTTTTTTCCAATTTTTATCAATTTAAATTTTCAGTTGCATAAAATAATGGGCTTTAAGCATTTTTAATTTTTAAATCTTTAGTTGTGAGAAATGATGGGCGATCAGACAATTATTTAACAGCAGCAGACACGGAGATTCAAAAAGGTAAAGCTTTATAACCATTAAAACACAAATTGTCTACTTAACATCACATCAAAATATACAAAGTAAACATCCTTATATCAAATGCTAATAAGTTCTCAAACTGTTTTTCTTACTTTGCCTAAAATATGATTTATTGGTGGAAATATTTTTTCAACAGTTTGGTACATACAGTGAATGATATTTACGGACCTAAAAATCTAATCCTTCCAAACCTAACTATAGTGCAGGTACCAATAAGGAGTCACCTTTGTCTGGCAAATTTGTTCTTTATACATCTGTGCTGGCCAGAGTTCCTTTATTCTCCAAAGGTTTAGTGATTGTTTTTATGATTTTACTAGAAGTAAACAGTTACAGGAACATAATGGCGAGAATCACCCTGCCAAAGGTCAGTACGTTTGACTTTCTTTTATCTTCTTGTCCCTTTCTAGTTTCCTACCACTTTTCAAAAAATTATTAGTAGGACAGTAGTGTTAATATCTTCAGATTCCTGTCATGGGGCTGGTCCATGTATGTTTAATTTCTTCAATTATGTCCTTACCATCTCTTTCTCAGTAGCTTTTTTAATAAAAGGGATCTTTCACTTCCTAAATTATCCAAACTCTTCATTTTTTGTTGCAGACTGAATGACAGGAGCAATGAGGTAGGGGGTGATGCAAGTGAAAATGTTTTGTAGCAAAAGTTGATCTCTTCCATCAAAGATGACAAATAAAGCCCTGAAAACTTGGTTCCTTGACTAATCTGGACCAAGCTCTTTTCTGTCCTTTGGCATCTCTCTCCTATTTGAATGGCTATGTTAAAATGTGTTTTTAAGGCGGTAGGTTCATTAAGCGATAAGGCCCAAACCTACCGCCATTAAATCCATGATAGCTTTGTCCTGGACTTCAACAGTGGGTAAGATCCATACAGAGAAGAGACACTGTTTTTAGGATCCAGTTTGCACATGGTAGCCTGCAGAAATTACTGTACTCAGGGTGGCAGCATATCAGCAGGTGTGGAAGGCATTTGCACAGGCAGCAGCACACAGCCAGGCACATAGGGTGTGTGTGTGTGTGTGTGCGCCTATGTGGAGGGGCAGCAGCACATCGCCAAGTGTGTGTGGGGGGGAGGGGAGGCAGGGGGTGTTGCAAGGGCAGCAACAAGTAGTGACACGTGAGTGGGGGGTGTTGCAGGATACCAGTATACAGCCATCAGAGGTTGTAGGGGCAACAGCCTAGGCAGGCATATGCAGGGGAGTGTGGGTGCTGCAGGGTCAGTAGCAGGCAGCCAGACACGTGTGTGTGTGGGGGGGAAACCTGCGGGGCCAGCCAGACACGCGGGGGGGGGAGGCTGCGCGTAGCCAGACACGCGGGGGGGGGGGGGAGGCTGTGGGGACAGCCAGACACGCGGGGGGGGGGGGGCGGGGGGCGGGGGGGGGGGGGGCAAGGCGGGAGGTATTGGGGCGGGGGGGCACC